GTACCGTTATTTGCGCCATCCGCCTGGCAGAGCTTCTGCCAGAGTTAAAACTGCTCAGCTGCTGGAGCTGGAGATTGCTCTGAAGGGTTAGCGTGTTCGGCAGGTCAAACGAAAGCGGATTTACTCACCCTCTGATCAGACGGATACCTCCTTGGCGGGCTTCCTTTCTGCCCCCCAAACAGCCCCCCACCCCAGGCCGGTTAAGATCAGAAGCCTGCAAGAGCTGTGTTGGCAGAATTAAAAGCTGGGAACAGAGAGCTATTTCATACCTTCCTAAAGACTCGCTGACTCTGCGGTTTTTAGCGTAGGAGTCATAAACATAAGGGTTTTAAAATTGTTTTTAAACAAAATTGCATGGGCCCTTGGAATGAATGATTACTGCACTGTAAATTTGTAATGATTAGCATTTAAACGACACTTTGAAGTGATAAAAGCAATTCCCATGAATAATCTCAGGAACTTTTCCATTAATCCTGTGAAGTAAGCAATTTTATTACCTCTCATGTTACTCCACTTTTTATTATCTCCGAAGCTTGGCAAAGCAGTAAGGGAAGCTTTCATAAGACAGACAGAGCCGACCGCTCAAAAAAGCAGATTCAGCCAGGCTCAATCAAGGACCTGACGGAGGCGAAACCGGGAGCACGTTTTGCCTCTGAAAGGCTCGTCTGGCGCAACCGTCAGCCTGGTGTGCCGGGAACCGCGACCAGAAAGTCTGCAGATCGAATTCAGGCTGTTTTCCTAACAGCAAGGCAGGGATTTGTTGCTGCCTTTTTTCCAGGTGTTTTCGTTCCTTCCCAGCCTCTTGGCCTCCCTTCAAAGACTAACCCAGCCCAACTTTGCTGAACATTTTCCTAGGTTAGCCAAAGTCAGCCGGAACAGCGGCTTTTTGTGCCAAATGCACAATTTTGTGCCAAATACAGTTATCAAAATATTAAAAATAACCAACAGGCAACAGAGCAGTGTTTCTCAACCTTGGCCGCTTGAAGATGTGTGGACTTCAACTCCCAGAATTCCCCAGCCAGC